CCTCCTCCTCCTCCCAGCCCCGTCCGGTCGTGCAGGGCCGGGGCAGCGCGGCCAGCCCCGGGCTGAGCCCCACGGCTGTGTCCCCTCCATCCCTCCCTGCCCCTCGGGGCTCCCGGTGAGTGCTGCGGATCGGAATCTCTGCACATCTCCAGGGCTCGGAGGCTTCGGCAGCTTTGGGAGGGTCTGGGGAGGTTTGGGGGTTTGGGTGGTTTGCTCTGCCCTAGGTCAGCATCTGGACCGGGTGGTCTTTTGTGTGTCCCTCCCAGTGCACAATATTCTGTGTGGTTTTGTTGTTCTCTGACAGATTTGCTTCTCCTCTGCTGTTTCCTGGGTGTTTCCAGCTCTGGTGGTGTCTGTAATTGCCTTTCTCTCAGTTATCTCTGTGCAAAAAGAGCTTTATAGCTTAGCCTGAGAGCTGTGTTGATATTGCTGTGCTGTTGGTGTGTCCGAGGATGTTTTTCCTTCCAAAGTCCTCTGCAGGCTGAAAACTAACACATTAGCTTCATATATTTATTATTTAACATCATTTCATTCCCTGACAGCAAATCCTTGTTTGTCTGTCTGTGGCTTCCTCTGAATTTTATCCAAGTGTCCTCATAGCCCAGAGTTTAATTCCTGTGTTTTCTCTTTTTTGTTTTCAGCTCATTCGACCCACAGTGATTTCACCAGCCAATACTTTGGATAACAACAAGAACAAAATGATGTCAAGACAAGCTTTCCTGTGCAGCTTGGGCTCCCTGTACTTATCCCTTCTGTTCATATTCCTCCTGATGGATGTTTATGCCAGGCCTGCCAACAACTCAGCCCTGAAGGAGAAAGCAGCTGATAGTAAGGATGAGAATGAGATCCTGCCCCCAGACCACCTCAACGGGGTCAAGATGGAGATGGATGGACACCTCAACAAAGAGTTCCACCAGGAGGTGTTTCTGGGGAAGGAGATGGAAGAATTTGATGAAGACTCAGAACCCAGGAAAAACAGGAAGAAGCTCATGGTTATCTTTTCCAAGTAAGTCGTGAAGCAGAGAAAGAGGAAAATTGGCAGGGTTTTTTTTGTACTATTTCAAAGTTACAATGCTAAAGGGGAAAGTCTCATCCTCTTAAGTGTGAGTTTGTGTTTTTAAGGTGTTAAAACAGCTCTATAAACCATTCTCAGGTATGACAGTGCAAGTGTTGAGACTTGCCGTCAATATACACCCAGGGTGGTGTTGACAAGTCAAATCTATGACAAAACAACTGTTTCTATGTGAAAAAAATCATCCCAAAATATTGAAATTAATATTACTTCATCTGGCTCAAGGGATAATTAATATACTTGTATTTTGCATCCAGGAATTGCTAAGGAAAGGCTTCCCTAGTGGCAGGATGGCCATGCAAGGTGCTGGGAGTTGTTCCAGTTTTGTCCTAGCAGCTCTTTTGCTTTGTCCTGAGTTTCATTTCAGTTGGAAACCTTAAGTTTGCTATTGATTTTTTGGGATTTATATTCCATGTGGATCTTAGGTTTCTTTCCCTTGTGACTTCTGCAAGTAACTGCAGAGGGAAAACACTGAAAAATCAATACTGGAGGCAGAAGGGAAGAAAAGGTCAGAGAAGCAATGAGGTGAGACTGTGGGGAATGAACTCCAGGGTGGTTTCTGCTCACTGGACTTTCTGGGAGATGCTCAGTGGGTGAAATCTGTGTGTTTCACATGAAACGCATCAAGGTTAAAATTAATTACACTATGAATTTGAAAATGCCCAGGACAGATTTATTCCTGGAGTTAGTGTTGGTAACAAAACAGCTTCTTTGGATTTAGTAACAGGGAAGAGAATGAAACAGGAGAATAGAGAGATTAAATGTTTCTTCTTTGAAAAGTTCATCTGTATATTTACTTGATATAAAAATATTAACTTTCCTTATAGCCATTACAGCATTTTCCCCTTTATAAAGCTCTTTTTTTGTGCTGGCTGAGGCCTTTGCCAGCTGCTGGCAAGGCAGGAATCGTCATGGGAATCAACCTCAGGGTGTAGTTCAGACACAAGGTGGCACAGTTGGATTGATTTGTGTCTGTGAGTGAAGGATTAATGTGATAATGAATGATTGGAGTGAAGGGTTTGATTAGAACAGCAATGACATTGGTGCCCTTAGTGCTGCTGCCCTGGGGATGCCCATGGAGATAAAAGTTTTAAGATTTAACAAAGTTTGGTTTTTTTATGCAGCAAAGTTTTAATCAACAAATGAAAATAAGAATGGTAACCTTGATGTTTTCCTGAATAAAGGAGCTAAAGCAAACAAGAAAACTAGAGGGTTTGTTGTAATTCTGAGTGGAATCTTTGGTTTCTGTATCTATTCTCAGCACTGGGAGGATATATACAAATAGTAAGATTTCTTTATTGGTACAAGTTCATTGGAAACATTCCCTATTGTTTGTGATTTGGGAATGGCAATTCACTAACCCTTGAGGTTCTGCCTGTCTGTTATGAAAGAGGTTTTCTTAGGAGGCTTCAAGTAATTGGATTCCAGCTCAATTTCATTCAGATACTTAGGGTGCCATTCCCTCAGATGATCAGATTAAACATGTAGCAGAGCTCTCTGGGGATTTGATTGCTTTCCAGAGATGCTCTTAGGGGCTAAAAGAGGAATACTACGAACTCCTGTGGAAATCTGGTGAGTCACAGTCTTCCAGATGGCCTGGAATGAGTTTGTTTGAAGGCAGAAAGTAAACACCCAGTGTGTTTTTAATCAACGGCAGCTGAGAGTCCTCAGCCTGTCAGGGTAAGAGCAAGTGGTCAGTTCAAAGCAGAAATCAATAGCTGATGAGATATTGCTGGAAATAAAATAGGACCATGGCAGGAGAGCTCTGAAAACCAAGATTTCTAGGCAAATAGCTGTGTGTGAAGTGAAACAACAAGTGGCATTTTGTGATTGAGGGTTTCAGTTCCTGAAGGAAGTAATTGAAATAGAAACCAACTCAGGAGTGGTTTGTGTCACAGAGTCAGAGTCCTGGAAAGGGACCCCATGGGCAGCTGGTCCCACCTCAGAGCACATGGCACAGATTGTGTCCATGAGGTACTTGGAGAAATTGGCACCTTTGGATGGCAACACTGGCACTGCAGTGTGGGCATGGAGCAACCTGAGCACAGGGATGCAAACCTGAGTGCCAAATGTTTATTTACCATGGACCTTTTGGGAGGTGCCCCCAAAAAAATCTGAGTTTTAATGACTTATGGTTGAAAACCTGAGCTCAAACTGGTGTCAAACCTGTTTTCCAGGCTTGATATCCAGATTTAATGTAACCCTTGGCAAGGAGAAATTCCCAGTTATCCTGCAAACTGGGATTTCTTGCTCTAAGTTGTCACTTTTATTTATCGTGAGCTAAATGAGCAGTTCATGGGATCTTGAAGACTGAGGTTAAAAAAAAGGCTTGGAAAGTGAAATGGAGAGGGAATTAATGTTCTGAGAGAACCTCAAGGAAGAAACTTTTCCAAAGAGTGAAAGCAGCTGGTAATTGTCAATCCTGACCCAGTGGGAAATGAGCCAATATTCCATGGGTGATGGAAGAAACTGTGAGTGATGAGAGTTGTGGTTTGAAAAACATAATACTGGAATGAGTTAACTTACAGCAAAGTGAGAAGTTTTTGCTGAGCAGTAACTTAAGTGTTGTAGTTACTGTAATTCTGAGCTAAAGGCTAACTTGCTGCTGGATTACTCTAGAGTTCAAGGAATGTGCAGCTTCTCCTGGTTTGATATTGCTGAGTAAAACAACCGAGAACCCCAAAAAATACCACACCTTTCCCTCTCCAGTCCCAAATCCTGTTTGCTCTTCCTCCCTAGGGTGGACATAAACAATGATAAGAAGATTGGTGCCAAGGAGATGCAACGCTGGATCATGGAGAAGACAGATGAGCACTTCCAGGAAGCTGTGGAGGAGAACAAAATGCACTTCCGAGCTGTGGACCCTGATGGGGATGGTAAGAGGGAGGAGCTTCCATCTCCTCATGACTCTGTAGGCAGCTGCTGGTAGCCAGAACTCCTCAGATGTGCTGTGATCAACTCAAGTCCCTTTGGACTGTGCAGATCCCAAGGTTTGATGCCTGCAGAGCACAAGGCAGTGATGTGCTGCTGTCAGCTCTGTGGCTCTGTGCTCTCTGCTGAGCTGTTTCCCTTGTGGTCGTAGGAAGTGCAGCAGGAGCTCTGCAGGGAGGGGGAAGAGCAGCAACATAACTTGGCTGCTCTCACAAACTCTCTCTGGTCCAAAGAGGCACAAAAGTGACTCAGGTGATAGTTTCATGTGCCGTTCACGAAGCTCAGGGTGTAGTGCTGACCCAGAGGAGTTTAGAACGTGCTGGTTTTTAAGCCAGGAGACTCCCAAGTTCATCATTTAAGCCCACTGTGCCCTGTCTGATGTTCTTTCCTTCTTTTCCTTATAGGCCATGTGTCCTGGGATGAGTATAAAATCAAGTTCTTGGCAAGTAAAGGCTTTAATGAAAAAGAAATTGCAGAGAAGATCAAAAACAATGAAGAGCTGAAAATAGATGAAGAAAGTAAGTACTTGGGGTGTGTTTGGTTTCCTTTGTGCTCCTAAATCCTCAGTGGGAAAACTGTTCATAGAATCATAGAATCAACTGGGTTGGAAAAGACCTCACAGATCATCGAGTCCAACCCTTCATAGTAAGATGAATTTTGGTTGTTCTGTTTGAACACAAATATAAGTCCTGAGACAGGAATACTCCATCCTTCCCAACTGGAATACATGGCAACTTTTCACAGGAATCTCCCTGCTCTCCCCCTGCAGAAGTGTCTAAACTTACTCTTAAACAAAACCTAAAGCCTTTGCCTTTTCCTTGCAGGAATTAGTCATTTCAAAGTAGGTTATGTTAGATTTTCCATGTATCAAAAAGCAACCGAAATGCAAATGGCTCTTTGAGTCTCCTGGCAGGGAAAACACCTGTGCAGTGAGTGCTTTGGCCTGTGGTTAGCTGCAGTTTACAGGAATGCTCAGCAGATAGCACTTTGCTGAGTAAGGGATCTGTGTACACAATCATTTTTCTACCTATGCACCGAACCTTATTTGGGAAAATCAAATTACGTATCTACCACTTCCTGAGGGTGAGAGGCACAACCTGTTCTCGTGCCTAGTGCAGTGTCACAAAGCTCTTTTTTGGGGCTGTGTGGTAAAACTCACCTGGGTGTGGAGCTTAGGGGAAGCACAGGACACTTGGGATGCTCAGCCCAAATTGGAGACAACACTTTAATGAATTGGTGCAGAGAACAACAGTTTAACTGGTGACTGACAGTTGAGTTGTGTTGAAACCAAGAGAGGCAAAGGGCAAGTTGACTTGGCACTTCTAACATTTGGGGTTGTCTGCCTTGGAAAACCATAAGGAAATGATTTGATTATTCCATGTGTCCTTGATAGAACTAAAACTTCATATTAAAACTGAAGGATTTCTTTACTCTTCACCGAAACCTTCCCTGAAGACAACTCTAATTTGCAACTTCAGAAATGCAGATATGACCATTGGGGTTGATTTTCCTCTTGTAGCTCAGCAACCAAAAGCATTAAGGAGTTAATTAAACCAGTTCAGTAAAAAATTCATTATCTGAAGTCTTTCAAAGGCTTTTAAACTCTCTTAAAAGCTGTTTTCAAACTCAGCAACTCAAAGCATTCAGGAGCTATTTAAGGCATCTTACTACATTTCCAAGTGTATTATCTGATGTCTCTCAGAGTGTTTCAAAGCCTACTCAAAGGAAATGCTCCAGACCTGTGTGTGTTAGTGTATTTGCAGAGGGCAGAGTATGCTACAGACAGTGTTTTTCCAGTGTGTCATTTAGAAAATGCCTCTACAGCAGCACAAGAATCATCTGTGCAGGTAGTTCTTTCCTCTTGGTGTGCTCAGGACCAGCAGATGCACACAACAGTCAACCTTGGATGGTTTGTAGTTCAGAGCAGCTGCTTGGGCTTCATGGAAATTTGTGTCAGTGCTGAAAACATGAGGAAAAATTCACTTCAGAGGGTGAGATGAAGTAAGTTGGAGGTTGAAATGACAGGAAGGAAGTCAGTGGGAGAAGTAAAGGGATTTAGTGCTGATGGATCTGTTCACACAGATCTTGCAGCAAAAATATTTCCCTGTGTAGTGTGTACATTGTAGTGACAACTGAACACTTGCAGGGTTAGGCTCACAGACATCCCTGGCTCTCGAGGGAAGGTGTATTTTAAGACCTTTAAATAGCTTCAATGTGACAGTTTAAATTTTCTCCTTCAATTTCTAGCCCAGGAGGTGTTGGACAACCTGAAGGATCGCTGGTACCAGGCTGACAACCCTCCTCCTGATCTGCTCTTGAATGAGGAAGAGTTCCTGTCCTTCCTTCATCCAGAGCATAGCAGGGGAATGCTGAAGTTCATGGTGAAGGAAATCATCAGAGATTTGGGTATGCCATTGCTAAATGTCTTCTTGGGAGTTGTTCCTTGCACAGAGTTTTGTTGGCTAGATGTGTCCAAAATCCCACACATCTTGTTTGTTCTGCTCTGCTTGTAATGTGATGGGGGAGGAAACATCTCTGTGGGGTTGTCTGTGCATCTCCAGGCTAAGTTTAACCCCTGGTTATTAAAAAACCAGAACATTTGGCAGATATTCTGAGGAGAAACATCAAAAACTTTGAGTACTCCACACCAAAGAGATGAGCTGCCTCACCTCACCCTGCAGTGCTGCTCCAAGAGTAGGAAAGGTTCAATATGATCAGCTGTATTGATAACACATGTTTTGTGAGGAGAATGTTAGCTGCTCTGTACTCCCCCAGTGCCCTAACTGTGTCAGAATCTTGACTTACCCATGAAAATGGAAAGAAATGGTCAAAGTTTCTAAGAAATTAATAATCTTTCAAAATTCCTCAGTATAGCTCCACATACTATTTTCCTTTCTGTTGAGCCAAGTGATGCATATTTAAAGCTGCTGCAACAACTGGATTTAAAAAACAGAATGATGACTTTGCTGGTTGTTAGCTTAATAAAGAGTTAGTGTTATAAGTGTTCTTTAGGTCCTGAAAAATTCCTTTTGCCTACCAGATTCCTATTTTTAGCCTCCAGAACATCGTGGATTAAAACACAGAGAGTTTTTTGGCTACCCAAAGAGCTGAGTGGTAACCATGCCCTGCTGAAACCAGGCACTGTCTCCAACCTGAAGGAATTCCCCCTTTTTAACAGGCATTAAACAAATCCCTTTGTGCTTCCTTTGCAGATCAAGATGGAGATAAGAAACTTACCCTCTCCGAGTTCATTTCCTTACCTGTTGGCACTGTGGAGAACCAGCAAGCTCAGGATATTGATGATGACTGGGTGAAAGACAGAAGGAAGGAGTTTGAGGAGGTCATTGATGCCAACCACGATGGGATTGTCACCATGGAAGAGCTGGAGGTGAGTCTCCTGCTGGTTTGAAACCCAATTTCAACCCAGGATTGAAACTGCTTCAGAGAATGTGAAATCCAGAACTCTCTGAGTTATTCTGCAGTGTTTACAGTACAACACTTTGGGTTTTAGTGGCCTGTAGTGCTTGCAGATGTTGTCATGCCTTTCTGAAGAGGAGGGGGAGTTTTCCTAGCAAAACTTACTCAGACATTTTGCTTTTAGGGTTTCTTTTTTCGCTCACACAGGCCTTGGATGGATTTGGAGGGACTGAAAGCAAAGCACAGGCTGTGTTAGGTGTGCTGCAATGACTCACACTTTCAGTTGCAAAACTGCCAACCTAGATATTCATTGAAAAAAAACCCCAAAATAAAAGCAAGCAGAAAAACCCAGTGGCCAACAGACACTGGGGCCCAGAGCCTCGAAACCAGCAGAGCTCTTGTCTTTTAGTGCTTTCCTTCTCTAAAAAATACATTGTTTAATAAAATCCTTTCAAGTGTGGATTCAGTTTTGGGACTTTCTTGGGCTTTGCCTGTCAGAAGAAGGTTTTCTTCTCCTAATTCTCTTACAAGACAGCATGAAATATTTTGTACCCTGGAGTTACAGCCACTGACTTTTTTTTTATTTTTCTTTTTTTTTCCTGTCTGGATCTAAGAAAGGAATTTCTGCCCCTTTGCCTCACAGAATTCACCTTGAGCATAGGCAGTGGGAAAGGAGAAACTCCAGAGTGTTGATCCTCTCCCCACAACTGGATGAATGTTAAAGTTCCTTCTCAGGATGCAAATGTTTGGGGGTGGATATTGGACACTGTTAGGGCCTTCTTAGTGGGAATTTTCTTTTCAAAAGAGCTGTTCTAGCTGTGAATGTTCAGAGAGAATGAACACAGAGATGTCACATCTGGCAAGAAATGGAAGGTAATATTGAGTCCTCCAACTTTTAACTAGAGTTAGTTGATAAAAAGCTTTGGTTCTGAGCCTTCTGCTCCCTGCAGTGTCTGCCTGGTGGGTTCAAACAGCCCAAACAAGCTCTGGATTGATCATGGTTGTATTATTATCCCCAGAAACTTGAAAATGTAGGTCTTACAGATTTGGTAATGTGTCACCTGTTCATTTTAAATGGGTATTTCTTCACCCGAACCAGGTTTGATAGTTCAGTTTGCAATGAAATGTCAACAGTGGCATCAGCTGAGAAAATGTGGGTTTGTGTTGGAACAGCCAAGGAAGCAGTTAATGGTAAAACAGCTTTTAAAGAGCTGTGCTAAGAGCATTGGCCATGATTTCCATTCACCTTGGGATGGTCTATGTTGGTCTCAGGATTGCTGAAGCTCACGCAGAGCTGAAGTTCATCATTTCAATGTGTGGAAAAGTTTGCTGAGTGAGTGAACTGATGTTTTTCATTGTTTTAGGAATATATGGATCCCATGAATGAGTACAATGCCCTGAATGAAGCAAAGCAGATGATTGCAGTAGCAGATGAAAATCAAAACCACCACCTGGAGCTGGAGGAGATCCTGAAGTACAGTGAATACTTCACAGGCAGCAAACTCATGGACTATGCACGGAACGTCCACGAGGAGTTCTGAGCCCCTTCCCTCCTCCTGAGCTCTGAAGCACTTTCTGGCTTTCAAAGAGGAAAAAAAGCAAAAAATCCAAGCCCCAAACTGACAGAAAGTTCCTTTGCTGCTATCTGTGTTCTTTGCCTCCAGTGTGTTGTCCTAGACCTCAAACCTTCCGTCCAGTGGGATCTGCTGCTTTGGGGTGAGGGAAGCAGCCCAGAGCTCCAGGGCAGGTCTGGACTCAGCAGCTCACCTGCCTGGGGTAGTGACTCCAGCTGAACTCTCCACTGCTTTTGGCTAATCCTGTCTGGGGGAGGCTACTGAATACTTCCCGTGTTGCCCTCATAGCTGCTGATCCCTGGGAATCACCACGCTGAGCTGTTGGGTTTGGGAAGGCTTTGGTGGTTCCAAGGCCTGTTCTGACCTCCTGAGAACATCCACACACAGACTGATTGGCTGATCTTCCAGTGGTTTTCTCAGCCTCATGTGTTGGGAACTGAATCCAGGTTCTCCCTCCATCACTCAACTGTCTGAGGGCTGTAGGAAGAATTGAGTTGTTAAAGAGATCTTTTGCATCTACTTAATAACAAAACTGGTTATGGTGGGACAGGTTTGGTGTTTGCAGCTGTGCTGGGAAGGGGAGAGACTCAAGATTTGGAGGGAGGCTAAAGATTGGGGAGACTAAAAGATTTCGGGAGACTCAAGACTTGAAGGGCTCGAGACTTGAGGGGCTCAAAACAGATTTTGTCCTTCAAACCTCCAATTATGTTCTCAAATGAAATCATGGGGAAAGTTTCTAGGTGAACTTGGCCCTGTTGACCAGAGCAGTGACAG